GTATTATCAGTTTTTCGTTTTTACATTCAGTAATTATTTAGCTGCAAAGGGTCAAATGCGTTCAATTTGGCTTTATTTTTAGCCAAAAATTTTACAGTCTCTGTATGTTTATTTTGAGCAGCACAGTGCACTGCGGTTTGCTGGAATAAATGTTTCTTCGTAGTTTGTTTTAAAATAACAAGTTTTTCGTCGCCACTGAATCTGAACCCGATCTTATCAAAGGATACTAATTTCAAAACTTTTATAATTTATCATTTTCTTTAGTTTACTTACAAAATTTATATATTTGTTAAGAAAGTTGCTTTGAACCGATTTTTCAGTGGCGTACTAAAAAAAAAACAGATCATCTTTGGACTACAAATTTCTTTCTTAATTTTTTAATTTGTTAAACTATTGGCTAAGTATATGTCTGGATAACTTTTTAAAGACAAAAACAAATAACAGAGCAAGAAAATGAAAAAGTGCAGCAAAACAAATATAGAATCGCATATTAAAAACCGATTTTCTTTCTTTATTTTTCACCAAAAAGGAATTTTCAAAAGTATTTCTACGGTCATTTTTGTTACCAGTTTTCTAAACTTTTGCTTCAGTGGTTTACTTTAAGACTCTCAAATAAATCTTTCTTTTAACGCAGAATCGTTTTAGCGTAGAATTTCCGATGATTCCAACTGATGCCCTTTAAAGTTTAAAACAGTTTTTCACCTGCCATTTATGTCTCACATTCATATCGACATTACTTCCAGCTAAAATTTCTACTATTTCTGTGTGACCGTTCTAAGCTGGTCCGTGTAGCACAGTTTCTTGAAAAACTGTTCTAAGAATAACTGCAGAACAAGTTTTTTGTTGCTGTTAAAGTTGAACCCTATCTCATCAAAGAATACCAATTGGAAAACTATTGTGATTTGACGCTTTCTTCAGTTTATTTATAAAATTTGAGCATTTATTAACAGCGTTGTTTTAAGCTAGTTTTTTAGTGAAATATTAAAAAAGTAGGTTATCTTTGGGTTATTAATTTGTTTTTTAAAGACTTTTTACCTCTTATATAATCGGCTTATTATATGACTGAATGCCTTTTCTAAGGCAAAAGTAAAAAAGCAAAAAATACAAAAAGGTGCAGAAAAAGCGGGCTTAAAGAAAGTAATTTTTTTACTTTCTATCAGAAAAAACTTTTTTAAAGTTTATTAAATAATTAATTTTTTCATTTTTCACTTTTATAAATATTTATTTCAGCGCTTTACTCTGCAGCTTCTATTAAAAACTTTTTCACATCATTCAGTTTTTGACTGAATTTTTTGAGCTTACAACTTATTTAGATTAATTTTTCACCTGCCAATCGTCTTTTACATTTAAACTGGCTTTATTTTCTGTCAAAATTTTGATG